GGGAGGGGAGAGCAACCAATCGAGGTGTCTCTCTCACATCAATGTTTTTCTTTCCCCTTCTCTCCCCCTCCCTTCCCCTCTCTCTAAAAATCAATGGAGAAATATCCTCGGGTGAGGATTAACAACAAACAAACAAACAAATAAACAAAAAAACACCAAAAAATGGAGCAGATAATTTTTTCTCCAAAGGAAATGTGTTTGAGGGCCAGGTCTGGATCAGCTGATACCTCAAGGCCTTTCTTCCCCAAAGGTGCTCTGACAAAACAAAAGATAGTACTGTTAGTTGACAGGCACTAAAAAGGAAGAGGCTTATGGCAGTTCATGTGGCCTAAGGACCATGCTGACAAGCAAACTATAAGGGGTGAACTTCTCCTGTGTCTGTACTCTTTTCTGCAGACAGTAATCCAATCACATATTTAGCTATGGTTTTCCTACTGGGAATGCAGAGCAAGGCTCTGGGGGCAGCATCACAATTAATGGAGGTTAGGTTATTATGGGTCAAAAGGACCTGAGCCAGCTGGCGTGGCTCAATGGTTGAGCATCGACCTATGACCCGGAGCTCATGGTTCAATTCCCAGGTTTCGGGCTCAATTCCCAGTGGGGGGTGTGCAGGAGGCAGCCGATCAGTGATTCTCTCTCATCATTGATGTTTCTATCTCTCTCCCCCTCTCCCTTCCTCTCTGAAATCAATAAAAACATATTTTTAAAAAGGACCTGAAAGTAAGCTGAGTCAAGTTTTATTGGTCTATTCTGGGGGGGTCTCTGGTCAAGCAGTAGCATCTGACTGCTGAAACCAGGGGAGGGGCTTCCCTGTTTGCAGTGATGACGTGCTTGAACCTCCAAGCTGTTTGTGAGGCCACCTTCCCTCAGTCAACATTCTCATGGAAAGATAATTCTAGCTTAAGCCACTTTTACACTCAAACTTCAAGAAGGATGCTAAGAAAACAGGGTTTTGCTTCTGTAACCAGACAAACAATGGGTTCTTGCTGTCTGTCACTACTCAAGCCAATGAAGCAGAGACAGGCTTGAATCATATATGAGCATTTATTTCAAAACTAGAGGCCTGGTGCATGAAATCCGTGCACAGGTAGGGTCCCTAGGCCTGGCTGGCCATTGAACAAGTTCCCCGACTCCCCACCAACCCACCTCCCCGCCTCCTCCTCTCCTCGCTTCCTCAGCACCCCACCACCACCACTGGTTGCCTGCCATGTCCCTGCCTTCCCGCCTCCTCCACTGCCTGGTTCTCCCTCCCCTCTTCGCCCCCGCCCCACCTCTCCACCTCCCCGCCTCCTCCTTTCCTTGCTCCCTCAGTGCCCTGCCAAGGCTGCTGCTGGTCACCCACCATGTTCCACACTGCCCCCCGGTGGTCAGCGCACCTCAAAGCGAGCGATCGAACTCTTGGTCGAACACCTGAGGGGACACTTTGCATATTAGCCTTTTATATATATAGATTGCAGGCAATATGGGAGAACAGCAGGTCATCCACAAAAATCTGCTCTGCCCCCCACCATAAGCCAGCTGTTTATATCAGTAGAAGTACAAAGGAAAGTAGGCAAAAGAGCAAATGGGCAGTTTACAGATATGCAAAAGGGCTGGGGGTCTTCAAACTGCTTAGTGATGTGCAAGGGCTAGGGTTACAGGGGGAAATAGCCCAAGGGTGGGCTAGATGGGCAGTTATCAGGTAAGCAGGCTGGAGATTTGCAAAGGCCTGCAGGGATGCAAAAGGGCTGGCTGTCGATTCTAGTTTCTGCAGCAAAATTAATCTTTCCATTTCCAGGTGAGCTCCCAGGTCCTGAGTGCAGCTGCCAGCCAGGTTAGAATGTGCCTTCTTTAATCAGAATAGAACAATCACGGTTAACAGAGCAGGATTAGTATTTCTTACAATACTAGCTGGTTCCCCAACATTCTATTTCTGCCCCCTCTCACTCCCATTTTAAGGGCATTTGTTGGGATCTGGAGTGGCAAAGCAGTTTCATGGGTCAACGCTGGTAATAGGTGCCCACACGCTGTCCTGGGAGCGCCCTGAGGCTAGACCCCAGTCCAGGAGGGAAGGTGCTGTGGTATGAGCCTCGTCGGTCCTGAGTATGGTTGTGTATATTTGTCAATATCCTCACAGTCTCAAGTGACTGAAACCTAATCTCAGGCAGGAAAACTCCTTGGCTCACAGAATCCAGGAAAGGATATTAACAAGAAAAGAGTGGAGATGCAGACGGGCCTGAGGAACACTATGAACCAGCAACTGGAAAGTGTTCAAGGTCCTCTCCGCCCCTCAGTCCCCGCATCAGCACATCTGTTTTCTTTTCTCCTGCAGAGCAGTCGTCTCACATGACAGGAATCATAATCCCGACAGGTTCTCAGATGCGCACTTTGTGGCCTCCCCCAAAGAGAGAGTGCCTTTACACCCTTCGGTAACACACACACACACACACACACACACACACACACACGCACGCACACACACACATACACACACACATTTGAGAAAGGGATTGTGGGTAGCTCAGTCTGGATTAAAAAATTTTAAGGGATGATTGCTCAACCCTGGACCAATGAACTTTGGACAGGGGCTGGAATCATCTAAAAATATAACAGCTTTCATAAGAACTGCACAGTTGGGCTCAGCAGGAAGAGAGGACTTAGAGCCAGGCTAGCATGGAGAGCAGGACTTTCAAATGGTGAGTTTACCCCAAAGGGGCAGGTCCCATGGCTGCCAACCTGAGCTTAACTCCCAGGGGCTGAGAGAGAAGGAGAAGACCCTAAGGAAGGTGCACCAATCTCATCTAGTAGCTGTAATCCCTCCCCATCATGCTCTGCCTGTTGTTCCTGAGCTGGGAAGAGAAACCCTAAATCCTCAGTCACTAAGTTGTGCCTCTAAATACTGGTCAGCTGAAACAGAACTGCAGCCATGAACCAGAATGTGCCTCGTCTTGTGGAGGTAAGTCCTGCTCCACGACTGACCTATTAGCCATCTGTTCCCGAAGCAGGTGGTGACTGAGAAGTCTGTGCCTGCTTCCTGAGGACTGCTCCGCCATGCAGTGGCTGATGAGGCTCCGGGTCCTTTGGGGCACCCACAAATCCTGCCACGCCTTCCACCTGGCCCCTCGGACCTTGCGCTTCCCGTCTGTATCAGCAACTGGCGCCCCGAGATGGAATGACCATGATAGACCTGAGAAATTTAACTTTGCAAGTGATGTCCTGGACTACTGGACTCAAATGGAGAAGGTGAGGAGGCGCCTGTAATGGGGGGACTGGGGCGGGGGGGGGAGGATAGGCGGGATCTCTCTGACTTATTTTGCTCCTCAGAGGATGAAGGGCACAGACCCCATGCAGCCGATACAGGCCGACCTCACCTTACCATTGTCATGGGAAAAGCTTATGTTTTGGGGTTCAATTCTCAATTCTCACCCTGGCCACTTCCGCACTTCTCTGAGCCTCAGTGGTTCTATCTGTGAAATGGGGGACAATCGCACTTAAGAAACAAGCAGGTAAAAGTATCTGGTACACAGTCAGATAATTGTGACCAAATGCAAAGTTCTAACTACAAGGTCAGCAACTTGATGGTAATGTGAATTCTGGCCTTCCACTAATGGGACTGTGAGCTTAACTGGGATTCAGCTTATCAAACTGGGGCTCAACTTCAGGCTGCACTCAGAGGGAAGGGACAGGCCCCCTGCTGGTGCCCCTGCGCACCTGACACGTAGAGCTCAGTCAGGTGTCCCCCTGTGGGGAGAGGAAGGCCACTGCAGGCCTCGCCACCAGCGACTACTTGGGTGTGGCATTGGGGTCTGTCCAGAGAAACCAGTCCCTGCAGCCTCTAGAGTTTACAGGTCTCTTCAGAAGAAACCAAGTGCTTGAAACCAAAAGGGGAGCCGTGATGTCTACCCCAGGGGATGGGGTGGACAACGGGTGGTGTCCCAGCTACTAAGTCCCAGCTGGTGATGAGCACAGTGTGAAAAGTTACCCAACATTATCTTTGTACAAAGAGAGAATCCACCTGCAATGCAGTCAGAGAGTTGATGGAATGTTTGAGTTTCCCATGAATTTAACATATGCATTCACGTGTTAGTGTTCAAGGCTTATATGCCTTTCACGGGGCTTCTTCTCCCTCTTTCTTTTTCCTTTCTCTGAATTTCCATAAGAAATCCCAGGAAAATAGAGCCTTGGTTATGAAGAGCACTTTTATGATCCCCATTTCCCAGATGAGAAAACTGAGGATCCGATTTTACATTACCTACAGAAATTACATGCCTAAGTGGAGGAGCAGAATTTGGGTCCAGGTTGTCTAGTTCTAAAATACATTTTTTTAACCTGGTCTCATGATCTGAAGACACCAAATCTTTGCCTTCAGACTATAAATTGACTTCCATTACTGTCCAGACCAAAAATCTGATGGAGACCTTGTGGACCATGAGATGGGCTGGAGAGGGCGGAGGCAGAGAGGAGGAAAGGGGCCCAGCACTTCATTTTCGCATTTATCTTCATAAAATTCTTATTCATTAGTTCATGCATCCACCTATGGAGATAACCAAGTAAATAGGATTCCTCCATGAAATACCTGTTCTTGTTGGGTTTTATATCATTGTTATCAGTCACTGTCAATTCCACTGTATCTCCCACTGTCCCCCCAGGCACCCTCATTTCATTAATTTTCATTCTCACAACACTTCTGATCTGTTTCCACTTTTCCAATTGCCTTAACCATGATCAGTGTCTCTCTAGTGATGTGTGGTGTCTGACACCTAGAAGTTTCTCAACAAACATTTGTGGAGTAAATTAATTTTGAAACCTGCCTTACAATCCATAGATCTTGGTGCTGCTCCTATTAAAGACTCTGCAGAGGCCACACCACTGGGGTCCACTCTGCTCCCTGAACCTCCCTCAAAACTTAACAGTCTTGAGTTAGAAATCCAACATTTTTATGTGCCCTCTCCTGACTGTGTGTGTGTGTGTGTGTGTGTGTGTGTGTGTGTGTGTGTGTGTTGGCAAAGAACTCATTATAAAACAAAAGAAAGTGCTTTGTTGCTCTGGCTGGGTAGCTCACTTGGTTAGAGCATCGTCCCAACCCGCCAAGGTTGTGGGTTTGATTTCTGGTCAGGGCCCTCACAAGAATCAACCAATGAATGCATAAATAAATGGAACAACAAATCAGTGTTTCTCTCTCACTTCCTCTCTCTTTAAAATGAATCAATAAAAAATTTTAAAGAATATGAGGCAACCCTTTTCTACTTGAAATAAACTCACATGTGAAGGTTTTGTTTGTTTTATTGTGACTTGGATATCTTTATTCATCCTCACCCAAGGATATTTTTTCCCATTGATTTTTAGAGACAGGGGAAGCGAGTGAGAGGAAGAGGAGGGAGAGAGAAACATTGATGTGAGAGAGACACATCCATTGGTTGCCCTGACAAGGTCTGGGAATGAACCTACAATTGAGATACGTGCCCTTGGCTGGAAATCTAACTCTAGACCCTTCAGCCCACAGGCCTACGTTCTAACAACTGAGCCAAACCTGTCAGGGCTTCATTTTTTTTTACTAGAGGCCCAGTGCACGAATTCGTGCATGGGTGGGGTTCAGCTGGCTTGCCTCAAATGGGGCCAATTGGGACAAGCTGGTCTAGGGGAGGGGTTGTGGGTGGTTGGCAGGGGAGGCTGATTGGGGGCTGAGTGGGCCAGGGGAGAGGGGACACAGGCAATTGGCTGGCCAGCCCTGCCCCTGGTGTAACTCTGGGTTGAACTCCCAGTTGAGGGGACAATTTGCATATTAGCCTTTTATTATATAGGATAATTAAAAAGTGTTTTTAATTACAATTGATATACAGTGTTTTATTCATAAGTTATATAAATGTCTAATCATTAGGTTGTACACCTGGCACTGTGTTCTAGACCACTCCTATCACCCCAAAAGCTTTCTTTTGTCCTTTCTCAGCCAATCCCCTCCCACCGCCACCCTGAGCCCCAGGCAACCACTGACCTGCTCTTGCACACTTTTGTGTCTGGCTTCTTTTACTCAGCATGTTTTTGTGGATTAGTTGTTTGTGTCTTTTTTTCTTTTTCTTTTTCTTTTCTTTTTTTTTGGTAAATCTCACCAGGGGATATTTTTTCCATTGATTTTTTTTTGTTTTAGAGAGAGTGGGATGGGGAGGGAGAAAGGAGAGGGAGAAAGAGAAACATGGACATATGAGAGATACCTCCATTAGTTGATATCCGGCCAGGATCAAACCTGCGACCCTGGTACTTGCCCTTAACCAGGAATCAAACCCGAAACGCTTTGGTGCAAGGGCAAACACTATAACCACACTGGCCAGGGATGTTCATCTCTTTCTACTGCTCAGTTACTTACTCGGTGTTTTATCTTTTAAAACTATTTCTCAATATCCCTTGGTGTCAGATCTCACCCCATTAAACTTTAAGTTTCAAATCCAGTTTAAGGGTTGTATTTTATCTTCTCGAAAACAGCTTCATGTCAATATCACATTATCAAATTAATCTTTAGCACAAAAATACATAACTACTAAAGTGATATCTTCTTCAAGGTGCAGGAGTTAGGCTCTAACACAGTCTGAATTCCAAGTAACAATTGTGTTCTTCTTGATATACCAGCTTTTCCATAATTTTTAAAATCCTGCAGAAATCCTGTGTACTGTACTAGGCTCCCTGTATATGAGCAGTGCACAACTTGTCATCAATACTTGTTAATATTCTTTAACCTGTTGGGCAAGAATTTTTTTTCACAGCACTGATTCTTTTTATAGCTGTAAAGACACACATGTATATGCACATATATTAATCTTATCTCAGATGAGATACATTCTTTGGTTCCAATCATCTGAGTCAAAGGATCATGTTTGTGCATCTGTGAGGGGGAAATTGCTGGAAAAATATACACTAAACCATTTTCAGTGCTGACATTCAGGGAGTAAAAATGTGATGAGAAATTTGAAGAAATCCTTTTGTTTATAAGAACCTTTTCTGCTCATAAGTTTCTGTATTGCCTGAATTTTTACTCTGAACATATTTTATTTTGAGAATAAAAAATCTTTTTTAAAAAACCATGTTCATTATGGAAAACTTGGGGAAAAGAAGACAGTCGAGTTAAACAAGAAAATTGGCCATAAATATTTAAAACATTTACATATGGGCACATATGTGTGGCTTGTTGACCATGGTATTCTTTTGGTCTCAGAATAGTGCCTAAGAAATAATAAGATCTAACTAATATTGAATGAATAAGTGAAAAATTATTATTAAATTTGAATTATAATGTAAATATGGTTTTGCAAAAAATGCTTTTATTAATTCTATAATTTTGTAACATCATATAGTTAGATCCTGCCAATCTTTGTCTTTGATTGGGAAATTTAGTTCTCTTACATTTAAAGTAATTACTGACAGGGAAGGACTTACAACTGCCATCTTGTTAATTGTTTTCTTGATATCATAGCTTTTGTTTTTGTCCCTCATTTCCTCTTTTACAGCTTTCTTTTGTGTTCGGTTGATTTTTTTTTTGTAGTCATATGTTTTGATTCTCATCTCATTTCCTTCTGTGTATATTTTGTGAACTGTGTATATTACATATAATGTCTTAAAGTTATAGAAATCTATTTTAAACTAATAACAACTTAACTTCAATTGCTTATACAAACCCTATTTCTAGATAAATTTGAATAATAATTATTATTATCTATCTATATATATAAAAGCCCAAGTGACCCTTATGACTGAATGACAGAATGATCAGTCGACCAGTTGCTATGACATGCACTGACCACCACGGGGCACATGCTCAACACAGGAGCTGCTCTCTGGTGGTCAGTGTGCTCCCACAGCCAACCTCCTGCAGTCCCTCTCTCCCAGCCAGCCAGCCCCGATCGCCCCGATAGGGACTGAGCAAGATGGCCCTGATCAACCCCAATTGCCGGCCAGTCCGAGGGACCCCACCTGTGCACGAATTCGTGCACCGGGCCTCTAGTTATAAAGATATATGAAGAAAATAAAAAAAGACTTATATCCAAAATATACAAAGGACAATAAAAAAGAAACAACCCACTTAGAAAATAGGAAAAAGTTTCTGAATAGACATCTCACTTGAGAGTCACACAGACAGCAAACAAGCATACAAAAAGATCCTCAACATTACTTTTTATTAGGGAATCTAAAAATAAATAAACAAATTCCTTTCCAGCAACATCTCACCCCCCACTGAATGTTGCAAACAAGTTTCACTCTTTTCCTTCTGTCCCAGAGGGGCTGGGACTCCGGCAATACCTCCTCCCAACCTTGGGGCACCACATCAGAGAAGGGAGTGCAAAAGTGAGCAGAACATTACAACATGCCCTGTCGTTATGAGTGTGGCTATAGCTGTTTGGGCATTTGTTGGTTGCTGCAGATCCTTGACTGTTTCAAGAGTCCCAACAAAACCATTTTAGTCTGTTTACTTGATGTTTCTCTGAAGGAATAGGGGCTGGACCTTCCCAGTCTGTTTCTTATGAATTTCACCATTAGAGGTCACTTAATTTTAAAAATTAATTTTGCAAAATATTCGGAGCCTAAATTAGCCTCTTTTATTGTGTGGCAATTATAATAATAGTCATATTTATTGAGCACCTACTGTGCCAGGCACTGTTATATACACTTTACTCATTAAATAACTCATTTAGACTTTATGACCTGCTAGGTAATATTGTCCCCACTTTGTAGATGAGAATGCTGGGGTACAAAGAGGAACGCACTGTCTACATGGAACTAAGACACATGGGGATGGAGCTTTTTAGTCTTCAATTGGAGACATGAAGCTATTTATGGTTTCATATGACTTGGAAGGAGGTGGCTACAGTAGACCGGGAGAAGTTGGCTGGATCACACCCTAACTTTTCTTGGCACTTTAAATGATTTAAAATGAGGTCTCAGGTCCTAGCTGGTTTGGCTCAGTGCATAGAGCATCGGCCTATGGACCAAAGGTTCCCAGGTTCGAGTCTGGTCAAGGGCATGTACCTCGATTGCAGGCTCTTCCCCGGCCCGGGCACTGGTCAGGGCCCATATAGAAGGCAACCAATCGATGTGTTTCTCTCACATTGATATTTTTCTCGGTCTTTCCCTCCCTCTTCCACTCTCTCTAAAAATCAATGGAAAAATATCCTTGAGTGAGGATTAAAAAAGAATAATAATAATAAATAAAATAAAATGGAATGTGACTGTGACAGTGGATTGGGGAAATAAGTGCCCTTTTCCTCTGAAGCAGGAAGTAACACATGGTGTGTGATCTTGACCAGGAAGGCAAGAGAGGCCCCAACCCAGCCCTGTGGTGGGTGAACAGCCAAGGAGACGAAGTGAAGTGGAGTTTCAGAGAGCTGACCGACTTCACCTGCCGCGCAGCCAACGTCTTCACGCAGACCTGTGGCCTGCAGCAGGGAGACCGTCTCGCCTTGATTCTGCCTCGAGTGCCTGAGTGGTGGCTGGTGGCCATTGGCTGCATCCGAACAGGTCAGTGACTCAGAGAGACCTGTAGAGACCTTAGGGATGTCCTGGAGCCAACTGGTCCAGGAATACTAGGTGCTTCTTCTTCCCTACATTCTTTCTTCTTCACAGTCTTTCTCTTTCTCAGACTCCCTCACATATTTACTTTTTATCCCTGACTCTCTCCCTCACCCTCACATATGCTCAAACTCAATCTCTTTCTCTCAAACACACACACACTCACTTTCTCTTGCACAGTCTCAGACATTATTACTTTTTTGAAATTCATCAACTGTTAACCTTTTGCCATATTGGAGCCCCCACTGAGTTAGTAAAGAGTCAGTTGCACTCACTGTGACACCCATAAATACCATGTAAATACCCATAAACCCTGGATCCCAGACATTTCCTTTACCATCACCAGAGCAGGCTTATCAAACAAGAAGGCTGACATTGGTACAATATGTGTTACCTGATAGCTATCCATAGTCATCAGTCCCCAATTGCCTTCATCATGTCCCTGACAGCCATTTCTTTCTTTAAGTCCAAAATCCAATTGAGGATCATGCATTGCATTTACTTGTCATGTCTTCTCAGTCTCCTTTAATCTAGAAGGGCTCTCTAGCCTTTTCTGCATGGCAATGACATTTTGAAGTGTCTAAGCCGGTTGCTTTGCAGGAGGTGCACACAAATTGGTATTTCTGACTCTTGCTTCATGATTATATTCATCTTAAAACATCTTAGCAGGAGTGCTGGGGGGACTGTGTTGTGTCTTTGTCGGTGCATCACATGAGGGGTCTCTGCAGTTGTTTTGTCTTCCATCAGTGATACTGTTCATCTCATCAGAAGAGTTGTATTCAACTTTGTCAGGGCACCTTTTCTCTTCCTGACTAGTAAGAAGTCTGTGGTGTAACACGTATGAGACTAGTGACTATCCTGCTCCCCCACTGTCTTTCACCCCATGGTTTGAGTATCTCCTGATGATTCTTCACTGAGTTAAATATTATTATGGTGGTTTTACATGAGGATTTTCCATTTATATCACCCCCTCTACATTCATTAGTTATCATTCTTCTGTAGAAATTGTCCTTTCCCATTTAATTGCTTTTCTCTATCTATCTATCTATCTATCTATCTATCTATCTATCTATCTAATTTAGAATCAGAATGGGACTCATGGATTTTCTTTTTAAGCACTTCTGTTGAATCACATGTTTACACAACAGTCTGTTCATGCTCTTGGTTATATATTCTCTCTCTTTTTTCCTCATAAAATAGTGGATTTATCCATCAAGGTCATGTGGAATCAAACGTTAATAGCAACAGCAGAGGGAGCATAAAGAAGCCGTGTCATCTGTAGAGTTAAGACGTGAGCTGAACCCTCTGGGATAAGTACAATTGAAGAGGAGTAGAAGTGTTATGGGTTCACTCAGCGAGATAGACCACCGACTCAGATTTTAAATTTAAGAGCCTTTATTAAGCTGGCCAGCTGACTACAGTTACAGCACCCTGTCGAAGCAGAGGCTGAACTGCAGCCCAGACTACTACAGGAATTACATTTTATAATGAAATTCTGTGGAGGCCCAGAGAAAAATATGTCTTTCAAATTCTGGGCCCCCCAATATGGAGGAAACTCTCTTTATTTATACTTTATCCAGTCCTTTGTCTCCCAAATTTGGAATGAGTCTTCCGGGCCTTCTGAGAAAGAAGGCCTGCGTGCTGGGAAGGGGCTATGAGACCATATCTCAAGGCCTGGCCTGATGTCAGTACCTTCCTATCTATGTGTTTTAGGAACAGACAGCACAGCATGACCCGTCTGGCCAAAGCGCCAGATATGCAGCCCAGCACAGAAGCAGAGAAAGGGAATTCCAAGAACGGGCTTAGCACATGCAAAGGCTTAGAGTCAGGAGTTGCCTATGTGAATGGCCATTTTGAAATAGAGAATAGAGGTGTGGGAGAGAAAGGTGGAGCGTGGGCAGCGTCTTCAGTGTCGCAACGGGGAGCGAGCTGTTTTCCTGGAGAGAGGACACAGGTGTTAGTGAAGAGAAGTGAAGGTGAACGTGGTGGGCAGGCAGGCTAAATGGCCATCTCAGAAGAGATTAAAGAAAATTGAGTTTATTTAAGGAAAAGGGGGTGGGGGTGGGATATCCAAAGGGAAGGGCTGCACAGCGTTGAGCCAAGGGGCTGATGGTGCACCGAGGAGCTGCAGTTTCATCCTTATGTGCAGTCACGGGTGGGAATCTCTTGTCGTCAGTGGTTTTGGGGGCTGAGCTGGTGGGTTTGGAATGTGGATGGAGTGCATGTGTCCGATCAGGGGTCTTCAGGACAGTATCACTTCCTTATATGGTTTAATTCCTGGTGTCCAGCAAGCATTTGTTCTCCTATAGCGGGAAGCGTACAAATGGTTGTAAGGATTACATTGCCCTATAGTCTTCACAAGAGGAAACGTGAAGGGGGAACGTCGATGCTCTGGGGAACTTACCCAGGTAATAACACAGAAGTTCAAGGCAAGGCATCTGGTGGGGAGATTAGAATCCAATAGGTGCACACAGATACTGGAACTAATTGTTGGCGACAGCAGATGGAAGGGAAGGTAGGAAAGGTCAAGGGACAATGTGGTTAATTTGGATGTGAGGGATGAAGGAAAGAAGGGATTCCCCATGACACAGGGATGAGAGAAGGGGGTGGGAGGAGAAAAGCGGGGGCTGGGATGCAGCTCTTCCTGATGTCAGAGACTCTGTCCTCCTTGCATCTGTGCTCCCAGGTCCCATGCAAACTCTTGCAAAGTAGGACCCACCTGTCTACTGGCTGCACCCATCTAGAGAAGACAGGTTTAGGGCAAGCGTTTCAAGTTTTAATGTGCGTGGGAATCACTTGGAGGTCCGGTTAAAATGCAGGTTGTGGCCACGCAGCTTGGCTCAGTGGTAGTGCATTGACCTGTGAATCAGGATATCACGGTTTGATTCCAGGTCAGGGAACACTGGATGTCCAGGTTGGGGGGCGTGCAGGAGGCGGCCAATCAATGATTCTCCATCATCATTGATGTTTCTCTCTACTTCTCCCTTCCTCTCTGAAATCAATATGAATATATTTTAAAAATGCAGGTTGATTCGGTAGGTTTGGTGTGTGGCCCGGTGGTGCTGACACTGCAGGTCTTTGCTTAGCAAGAGGTTAGGGGATTTCTATGCAGATAAGCCAGGTCTTAAGCCCATGGTTGTGAAAGAGGAAATGAAACAGATAATTTCTTTCTCATCCCCAGGGATTATCTTCATGCCAGGGACAACCCAGCTGAAGGCCAAGGACATTCTCTACCGACTAAAGCAGTCTAATGCCCAGAGCATCGTGACCACAGATGCCCTTGCCCCAGAGGTGGACTCTGTGGCTTCTGAGTGTCCCGCTCTGAAAACCAAGCTCCTGGTGTCTGACCACAGCCGGGAGGGGTGGCTGGACTTCCAATCTCTGATTCAGTGAGTTTCGGGTCTGATGGAGGTGCTCTCTGAGGAACGGTGGGAGAAGGCCCTCCGCACCCGAGCGCTGTAGACAGACAGCTGGTGGTAGGAAGCTCACCAGGCCTGGCTCCAGAAACCTCTTCCCAGCTGTGTCCCTGACTTGCTGTGTGACCCTGGGCTACTTCCTGCCCCTCTCTTAGCCAAGGTTGCTTCATCTGTAACATCAGAACATTGCACTTCTATGCATCTCTCCCTAAAGTTTGATCACCCCTGAGATGTGAAAGGAGGTGTAACGTCTGAGGGTTATTGTTTCAAGCGTCTTGCAGGTGGGAATCTAAAAGATTATTCATATATAAATATAAATAAATGTATACGGATACGTTGGATAAGAGGTTAAAATGGATCTTTAAGGTGAAAGTTGAGCCTGCAAGAAGAAATGAGGCTGTGACTGGCAGAGGAATTTGGGGGCAAACATCTCCCAGGTGCTGGTGCCCTTAGAAAGTTAGGGAAATGCCGGAGGTCAGAAAGACCCTCCATCTCCGATCCTTTAATTCTTTGAGCCTTCAGGCTTTTTTTACACTGTCGACCTGAGAAACTTCCAGACCTGTAGAAAATTTTTATGAGTTTATTTGAGCCAAACTGACAACATACTAGTATGCTGAGGAGCAAGATCTGAAATGCTCTGGAGGAAAACCGTTTTGTAGCTTCTTTCATGCATTTGAAATTCAGGAGGGGACCCAAAAATTACAGGAAGGTTGGGGAAAGCCAGGTGGGGATGGGATGACAGGATAGTTAAGATTAAGTGCTCTCTTGAGGGGTAACACCCTCTTCAGGGGATATTACTTTCTGTATTTCAAGGGCGTGTTATCCTACCTGCACAAGAACAATGGACAGGCTTGCTTAAGGCAAAGATAAACCTTTCACCAGAAAAGTTATGTGTCAGGGGCCTGACTCCCCGCCATGCCCTGCCCGGTCAGGAGTTTATGATCAGATCACCTGTGAGGTTAGTTCCACTGAGCCCCCTGTTCCACACACAGCTCAAACCTTGCTGGGTTTCTTTTCTTTGTTTTATTTTTCCGAGCTAACATTGGTTTATAACATATAAGTTGCACTGGCTTTGCTTTCTTGAAGTAACCTTTCTATTTTTAAAGTAAAATGTTATTCAACCCCAAAAGGCAAATACTTCACTGACGTCACACATTGTGTTGGACTCTAGGGTCCAGAGTTGGGCTCTCCCTCCAGGGAGCACGCCCTCACCTTCCCCTGGCGCTACCTTTGCCTTTCTCTCTCCTCAAAACCAAGGGCCTTTCTTCTGCCCGGAACTTGTTTCCTGAGCCAATGCAGCCCAGCTGGCTCACTTCTACTACCTCTGTGGCTTTCTAGATAAACTTTCTTTTATAATTTGAATAAACAAATGAAGCCAGAGAGTTAATAAAAACCTAAATAAATAATACTGTTTAAAAATCCCTTAAGTTGCCCAGAGTCACGATGGTACCATATCTCAACAACAGTCAGTGTTCCCTCCAGCCGTTGGATGATCTGCAGTTTATTTGAACAACAGAGGAAGCTCATGCTCCACGTCCAATCATCGCAGGCGCCAATCACCACAGACCCAGGAGACTGAGTGTAGAGGCGCCCAGGAATCAATGCCCACTGAGGGGCCCTCTGTTTTCCTCTGCAGACTCGAGCGTACACCAGATGGACACATATATTTCTTTCACTCTCCCTCTCCCTCGCTCTCTCTTCCACACCCCTTATCACCAAGGTTATGGAGTGAAATTCCTCTAAAGTTAGTTTGTGTGAAAAGAAGCTTAGCAGTCTGAGTAAGAGGACAGTCTGTGCATCGCACTGGGTTTGAACCCTGACTCTGCCAATTGCTGGCTGTATGTCTTCAGTTTCTAAGCCCCAGTTTCCTCATCCACAAAGGGAGCATGACAAGTTGGGCATAGTCACCTCTTAGGATTGCTCTGAAGATTGAATGAGCTCTTATTTGTAAGTCATTTAGAGCATATTCAGAAACAGGAAGTTCTATTTCAATGTTTGTTAAATTATAAAATAATTGGCTGTGTTTTTCCATTTTTTTAAATGAAGAAATGTTAGTCTTCTTACCCAAGTCACCCATAAACTCTGTTTGATGCTTCAGACCTGGAGACCAGTTTTTCCTCCAGTGTTGCAAAACCCCAGTTTCTGCACTGGCCAGGTACTCAGTTGGTTAGAGTGCCAAGGTTGTGGTTTTGGTCTCTGGTCAGGGCACATACAAGAATCCACCGATGAAAGCATAAATAAGTGGAACAGAAAATCCATGTTTCCCTTTCTCTCTCTCTGTCTGTCTCTTTCTCCATCTCTCTCCCTCCCTCTCTCTAAAATCTATACAAGCAAACCAGGTTTCTGACTTTGAGCCTCATGTTGTGTCTTTTGCTGACCCTGAGGGTGGAGCCAGGAGACTTGACTTCTCTCCTTTTCTGTTCAATCCCTTTGTAGATCAGCATCCCCAGATCACACCTGTATTAAGTCAAAGACCACGGACCCAATGGTCATCTTCTTTACCAGTGGCACCACCGGCTTCCCCAAGATGGCAAAACACAGCCATGGACTTGCCTTGCGACACTCCTTCCCTTCAAGGTAGGAAAGAGGGCAGCAAGTTAGACGCTGAGTCACAATCTTATGCAATGGGTGTGTGTGTGGTGTGTGTGAGTGTGTGTGTGTGTGGTGTGTGTGTGGTGTGTGTGTGTGGTGTGTGTGTGTGTGTGTGTGTGTGTGTGTGTGTGTGCTGGGAAAGGTGCTCTAAGTAGAACCGAGTCCATCCTGCTTCTCCCTTCTGCTCTCTTTGGTTCATACCATTGAGGGTCTCCGAGGTGAAGGTCTGGACTTCTAAGTGTGTTGTTGACAGAAGCCTCCCAGTGACAAGGGGGTCCCGCCTGAGCACCTTCACAGGTGTGGAGGGAATGGGGGTGCAGGCAGCAGGCATTCTGCAAGCTGCACAAATGACAAGCCATGTGTCTTTGTCACTGGTTCCAGGTTTGGTGGGAGGAGGACAGGAAGTTCTAGCTATGTGAACTGTACAGATACAGAGGTGGAGTTTCCCAGTCATGAACCATTAGGGGGAAGTAATACCTGGAGCCAGGCCACTGCCTTTAACCTAAAATAAATAATTGTAGAGGCTGAAGACATAGCCTTGCGTTAACCATGTAATCAATATTAAACCAAACATTGTTTCCCTCCTACTTCCTCCTCTCCAACTAGTAATATTCAGACCAGACCAAGTTCTGTGGGGAAGTATGGGCCTTGGTTGGCAAGTCTGTAAGGAGGATTCTTCAAAAGGTTGGGGTCATCTGGGGGGACCTTGTCAAAGATGGCAGCCCTTACCTTGACTTTTCCAAACAAGTCTGATCCCCTGGGTGTTTTGCTGGAATCTCTATGTTTAGTCTTTAAGACCCGACCTTGAAGAAGCATGTGCTTTCTCAGGGATATTTACCCTGCTGATTGTATCTAGAGGTTAACTTTAGTTTAAGCTGTTGTTACAATAAAAGGCTAACAGGGCAGGCATTTGGGGCTCTTTTGGTTCCTAAAGCTAAACAAGCCCCTTAGCCTTCTCTTTCACAGACACGTGTGTCAAAGTAATCTGTTCATCCATCTCTCAGGGTCTTCCGGTCAGCCCCAGCAAAGTTCTATGTATTTTGTACCTTATTAAACAGAGTAGGGGGCAGAGAAGGTGTCTTGTGGACACTGGGTATTTGTGCTAATGATACTACTTGATCAGCAAAACCCTGGAGGAAAGAACGGGAGAGTTTTCTGAGTAGTCAGAATAACATAAGCAAAGGCGCAAAGATATAAAAGGTAGCATTCATAGCCCAGCCAGCGTGGCTCAGTGACTGAGCATCCACCTATAAACCAGGAGTTCATGGCTCAACGCCAAGTCAGGGCACGTGCCCAGGTTGGGGAATCCATCCTAGGTGTGGGGCATGCAGGAGGCAGTCAATCAATGATTCTCTTCACCATTGATGTTTCTATCTCTCTTTCCCTGGCCCTTCCTCTCTGAAATCAATAAAAAAATATTTTTAAAAGTAGCATTCATAGAGACTTGAGAGGAGCTGCTGCTCAGCATGTCAGGGAGGCACAGATGGGAGGAGCTGAGAGAGTGAGTGGGGCCCAGAGCACACCGGGTCCTGGGGACTTTGGTGCAGAGATTGAGCTTATTGGGAAAACACTGGACGGTATTGAAAGGTTGTTAACAAGGGAGAGACCTAATCCAATTTGTATTTTGAAAAGATCACAGTCCTGCAGGGTGGAGAATGGCTTGGAAAAAGAATAGATTTAGAAAGACCTGTTAGAGGGTCTTAGAATAATTTAGGTGCAAGATGGTGGTGGCTTGG